GCTTAGCATATATCTCACTCTTCAACTCAATCGGAAGGATAAAAAATAATTGTCTATTATAGAACTCCAACGCAGCATACACTCTATCAATCAGGAACACCTTATTAGAGATGATCATAATATGCCGAGAGACATCACAACAAATATGTCATACCACATATATCCCTATGGAAAGCACAGAAAAGAGAGTAGGAAGCAAGTATATTCGCGAATACAGAGAATATATATGTAACATGAGCATAACCTTCACATAATAATATGTAAATACAGGCACAATCATGTTGGAGATTCTCAAGTTAGTATAATGCAAAACAGGAAAAAAAAATTTGTTTGAAATGTTCAATTGAAATAATAACAACCTATACTTATTCTTGCCAAGATAAAATACACAATTTAACACATTTATAAACAGCGAGAAAGTATTAAGTATTCAATGTAATCCATAAAAAAATCTGACTAATTTTATAGATACAACTAATTTATTATTATTAAAATATAATATAAATAAATAAAATTAAAAATAATCTATTAATTTTCATAATTAATTTTTACATTTACTTCACTTTACAATTACACTATTTTTTTGACCTATTAAATAATATACAAAATTATAGATAAATTATCATTTTATAAAAAAATCATTGTATATATATTTATATGAATGTTAATGTTTATAATTTATTTACTATTATGTTTATATATGGATATAAGTCTTAATATTTAGTTTTGGTTAAATAATTAAAATCAATAAAGTGTACTCAAAAAGATTAATCTAATAATATTATGGTTTTAATCAACTCACATAAATTATATTGCAGGTATGTTATTTATCTTTATTTTATATAAAATTATATCATTTTTAAATAATAGAATTATATGAATCTAACTATACTTATATATTAACACATAAAATGAATTTTAACTATAATCATTACTATTTAAATAGGTCTAGAAGATTAGTCGATTATATAATATAATGAAGGTTTCATTATATTATTCTATATTACTTAATCTTTCATTATATTAAAACTATATAACAAAATATATCCATTAACCAATTTATCATTATATATATACATAAATTCAAATATGTTATTACATTATTTAAGTAAATATGATAAAATATATAACTAAGAAAGATTTCTTAAACTAAAATTTAACATTTGAATTTAGGTACATTTTAACATTTAATAGGTACTTATGTAAATTATATTGAGGTTAAAAATACATAGGCAAAATTTATTAAAATCAAATCTTAATATTTTATTTATATCAATAATAATTATATTATAATAATATTATAATTCAATTCAATCATTAATAAATACTTAATCAATAAGCAAAATATTTTATCAATTGGTAGAGGCTAATATTTTAATTCAATGATTGGTACCTAACCAAATTTTTCAAATTTAAAATAATATTAATTATAATGATCAATTTTATATATGCATTAAATGTATATATATCATAAAAATAGAATTAAATTACAATTTAATCATCTTTCAAACAATTTCGCTACTTAATATTGTAGAGTTAAATATTACATTATTCAAGTAAGCTATAATTATAATATCTTTAACTCATCATTTGTAACATTAGTTCTAAATTGATTGCCAAATTTAATTTATTTTTAACAATAAACTTATATATGGTAATATAAATTTATTTTTATTCTCCACATTTACAATATTCAATTTTTTGATAAAAATAAATCTTATCATTATTAATCCATATAATAAAACATATAAAATTTCATTTAAAACAATTAGTTTTGGATCTTCTAGGTGGCAAATATTAAAAACTATACAATAAGTATAAATCACATATTTAAATTGGATTAATTATTTGTATAATGCAATCTAAACTAATGATTATATAAAAAAATTTAAATATATCCTATTCTCATAATTATTATAATATATATTACAGTATAATTTAATATTACAATTATATATAATTTAATATAATAATATGCATAATTTTACGACTATAATGAAAATTAAAGATAAACTATTAAATCAATATATATTACAGTATGATGTTTTTTTCTATACATCATTTTTTGGAGTAACATTATTATATTTCAGACTATGATTGGTCTCTGAAGTATTTCCAACCTGGGGTTCAGTCTGTATTGTGTATCTATCATGCCATTTATATGATTTAATAATACTAAATAAAATTTGACATTATTTTGAAGGGAAAAAAAAAATTTGTTCAAAAATCCAAGCTAAGAAAGGTATAAAACATTGTGAGTGTTTGGCAAATTAGTTATTTTAGTAGATTATTTTAATTTTTAATTATTTTAATAGGCTAAAATTTTTGTATTTCAAAAGATGATTGGATTAATTTTTTTTATAATTGAATGTGATATTTATGAAATAAAAAGTGAAATAATTATAAATTTAATGTGACATTTTGTCTTATTAGCTATTTTATCCTATTTTATCTTTGTGAATTTTAACCCAAAAAGCAAAAAATAACCTTTGCCAAACAAGGCCAACGTGTCCAACTGATATTTTTTTGCTAATGAGAGCTCCACCATTTATGAAATAATTTGGTGAGAAATCTTTTTGTTTGTTTTGGACGACATTTTATTTTTAATTTTATCCCTTAATTTATCTATTAATTTTTTATCTGTTACTTCTTTTTTTTTTTTACTATCTATTCAAATTTTAAATTTTTTTTGATTATATGTTTAAATTTTTTGATTTGAGAATCTGTTCAATTTTTTTCACTTATCTGTTGAAATATGTTAATTTTTTTAACTTATGTGCAAGTTATATTTTTAACTTATCTGTGCAGATTAATATTTTTAAACTATCTGTGCAAGTTATATTTTTAAACTATCTATCTCTCATTCATCTGTTCAAAATCATCAACAACAAATCCTATCTATTCATCGTATTGGTTCATCAACATCACCAAATCTTGTATGTTTATCATCGTCGTCGCCATCGTCATCGTCGTCGTCGTCGTCGTCATCAACAATATAATTTTTTTAAAAAAAGAATAAACAAATTTTTGTTGAATGATACCATTAGATTATAAATGGTCCAAGTACACACACAAAAACAAAAACAAAAATATATCATATAGAAATGTATGTATGTATGTCTGTATATTCATAAGCTATAAATATAGAGAGAGAAAGAGAGAGATGGTGGTATAAAAGCCATTGGACCAATTACAGCCCAGCCCAATCCTCCGCCGCCTACAACAACGACAATCTAATGCAAGTCGACGAGGACAATGAAGAAATTGAAAACTTCAAACCCATATCTGTTTCATTCAAAACAAGCGACTGAAAATGCCGAACTTACCGCCGTGGCTGAGAGGCTTGCGAGATTGCCAACATCAACATTCCTCTGTTATGCAATCAAATTTGGTCACTCTGACCAGATCTCCATAATACTACAAGTGTGTGGCATGATTAGCAACGTCGAGTTGGAGCTGAGAGCCAGGCTAGACCGACACCGACGACGATGACTTCGGTTCTCCATTTACACTAAATTTTTAGTTAAAAAATCCCTAAGAGAGAGAGAGAGAGAGAGAGAGAGAAAGAGAGAGAGAGAGAGATTCAATGGCAAATTATATAGCTCTATGAAGTAATAAATTAAAACCCTAAAGGAGAAAGAAAGAGAGTACCAAACTTGGATATGAATTGTTCCTAAAAACCTAGCTCGATGAGATTAAAAACACGGATCTTAAGCTGTGAAATGCTGAAGAAAAAGAGATACTCCATCGGAGATATATGTATTCAGTGTATTTATATGTGTAGTCTATACATATATATATATATATATATATATATATATATATATAGTATACACCACGGTCTCAAACCCTCTTACTCATTTAGATCTCTCTATCTCTCTTCTTTCTTCGCCGCCGATCCCAAACCCTCTCACTCAGGTCTCTACCTCTTTGCATCACTCGCAGTCGTCTCCATCATCGCCGTCGACCGTCGTTACCCTATCGTCGTCGATCTCCGCCACCATTGCCCATTTCTCCACCTTGTAGTTCTGGTACCGACGTCAGACTTATCTCATACCGCTGCCACCTTCGAACTATCGTGGCTATTCTCGACGGCATTATCTTGCTCTAGTTTCTGACCATTTAGGTTATGTTTGTTTGGGCGGACTAGATTGGGTTGGATTAGTATTCTCATGACTAATAGTCTTAGGATTACGAATCTTTTGGATTGTGTATTCTATCCTATGTTTGGAGTGGGTTAGGATTATAAGGAGAGATTAATAAAATATTATCCAATCCGATGTTTGTTTAAGGGGATTGGAATAGATAGGACATGAGACATCTAATATATTGACCATAATACTTCTATTGTGATCATTTGATAAGTTAGTTTAGACTTTGACTTAGTCTTCCAATTTATATCACAGCCCCTATGTGGGATTGAACAGTCCATCATATGTGGGATACCATATCCGGATGGATTGTTAATGCGTACTTCAATTTTTTAACCAAACATCGGATTAATAATTTTATTGGACTATTAGTCGAATCCTAAGCACATGTCCGTCCAAACAAAACATGGCCTTATAGTCTTAGGTGTGCCCACACAGCCAACTTACTTGAACTGTCGAATCTCTATTCTCCGTCATCCAGATCAACTTTGCAGATCGCAGATTCGAGAGATCCATTCATAAATCCAAGATCACAGAAAGGAAGCCGTCGTCAGAGATCACGCGAAGGATCTGGGTGCCAGCGCACTTCGCCTGAGCTTTCACACTGAGGTACAATCACAAAAGAAGAGAGAGATACAAATACATGCATACACACTATATATAACTTTAGGTCTCTAAATTGATTATGTGTTGTAGAAATGAATTTTGGACTATTTCTTTTATTTTTTTAGGGTTTTGATGAGATGTAAACTGATTTGACTATTATTTAAATAAATATATATATATATATATATATATA